AAACCTTTTGGGAGCAAAAGGGAAGCTTCTGCCCAGATCATGAACAGAGAAGCCTTTCTGTGCAGTTTTAACAATATTATGTCTTTTCTGCTAAAGAATCAGCTTCTAAGAATTATGGATGTGATTGGTGAGCTTGAGAGAGACATAGATGTCATTGGCCTGGCCTTTGTCCGCAGTCCTCCAGTTCTTTTTTTATTTCAGTATCTCAGGGTTCCAAGAATTTTAAATAATTCATTCAAAAGTCATTGGCTTTGATAGTTTTTAGGAAGACAGAATACTTAGAGCACCCTGGAGAGTTGCCTCCTCTTTACCACATTTACCCTTCCGCACTGAGGCAGGATTGTGGAGGTGGGTATTGAAGGAAATATTTTTTACTAGTAAAAAATTGGATTTTTAATGTTAAAAATACAAAATTGAATCCTGCATAATTAAATTTTTTTCTTCAACAGAAAGGTTAACTGGAGAATTAGTGACCCTGATTAAAAACATAGTGAGTAAGGGAAGGGAGGAAGCAGTCTTAATTATCTGAAGATCATTTTTAGATTTCTTTGTCTTAGCATTAACTTAACTGAAAAAAATTGAAGAAACAATTGAAAAGAATGAAAGTATTTTAAAAGATGTAAGCTCTTGTTCTACTGAGGAGCTGGAAGAATTCCTAATTTATGTCAGACACAGATCTTCTGAGAAGGGGGAAAAACAACCTGTTGTTTGTCTCCAGTAAAAAGATAACAAATTTAAAAGTATCTTGTAAGATTTATCTATAGAAAATGAATTAAAAGCTGCAGTCTATTTCTTCCCTAAACCAAGCTCATAGCAAAACTTTGTTGTTTTTCTTAAGCTCTTCCTTTAATCTTACAGAATCACACTGTAGTGCACTTATTTTCATGCCTTGTATGGTAGTGCAGCTATTACGTGATAGCCATATTATAGTGTATCATTTGTATTTTTTAAACCCTTTTTAGATTTTTTTAATCTCTGACTACCTGACAATGAAACTGCAATGAGTAAATAGTTAAATGTTCTAAGTGCATCTTTCACAGGTGAGTCACATCTGCCACAGACAGAAGGTTTTCTGTTGAGCTCAGGTTATCTGTTGGATGCCTTCTTTATCATACTAACATCAGAAATTATTTGTGCCTTCTGCTGAATCATGAATGTAAAAAAATCCTGGAAAAAGTCAAGCAAGATTCAGTCTTGCCAAGTGTATTGCTCTGGCACCTGTGTTTGGTTTCTTTGCTGGTGGGTTGTTTGTTCAAACCAGGAGTACTTCTACAACACTGAAGTCAGAGCTTATGCAATGGCCAAGGCCTTTACAAAGACAGGTAGGTAGACAGACATTTTAATCCAATGCCACCTGTTTATTTGAAGTATACACAGCACAGAGCTGTTTTCCAGTAAGTGTTACTGTATGTATCCAGGTGTGTATTACAGAGTGGAGGACTTCAATGTTTGGATGGACCTGTCACCTGTCTCGTGTGGTGTAAAGTGGATTTATTTCAAGTGGTAATCTCATCTCTTGTTCAAGCCAGGATCAGCTCTGTTGATGTTCTTTCTGATAGACATTTGTTGTACCCGTATATAAAGATTTCAGAGAACCTTCAGGGCATCTTCCCTTTTTCTGAGGTTTATGACTAGCTACTATGCCTTAAAATATTTCTGAAATATGCTCTGTAAGGTTGTGTTTAGCAGCACTGTCATATCCTTCTGATCAGTTTGACGTCAAAGTCTTCCCTCTGAAAACAAATTCTTCACTGTATGTTTTCCTCATCTAAAATCATCTTTCCTGTGTATGGAGGACAGGGCAGACCATTTTATTTGCCCACTTTGAACTTTTCCTGTTGTCTGTGGCATCTTATAAAAATTAATTATTTTGGTAGGTTTTCTTTTGCCTTGGATGGCAAAAGAAATTTAGACCACCGAATCCGTGATTTCAATAAGCAAAAGTAAATCTTACCTAAAGTTTGTTTCCAGAGTGGTTTTTTGTCTTAGTGTATTTTGGGGTTTTTATAATCGTCCACACTTCTCTCAATCCCTTCAAAAGGGAGCAAGTACGAAGCTAAACTTTGCCTTTGGTTCAGGGGAAACTCATAAAATTCCCAAATGATACATGTCTTGGCTAAAAGGCAGAAGAATGTTGTTATATGGATATTCTTTGATTTGACTGTCTCTTCTTGGCCAAGAAAGTGAAGTTAGACTCCAGGTTAAAACTTTCTTATCCAGAGTTTAAGTGGCCTCTTAGCTCCTCTTGCAAAGCACTCTAACATTTGAAAGTTGGCCTGTGTTACAGCTCCAGGATTGGGTGATTGCCTTGCTGTTCTCCTTTGCTCAAGTAGGAGTGTTGTCGCTCATGTTGTTGTACTGACAGATGGCTTGACACAGACAGGTTATTACAATGATAGTCCTTCTATATGTAGTGCATATGGATTCTGTGAGCTGCCATTCTCTCCTGCTATTTTCATGTCTTTTGCCACCTGGATTCGCAACTGACTGAGACACAGCTAGGCATGCACAAAGGGTTTTTTCATCTTACATGACATATGCAAAGCCCACCTCAGTTACAGAAGAACAGACACTGTGTCTGAAGGAAATCTGGTTTGCTGTGTGTGGGCACGTATGCGCCCCAGAAGAGGAATTAATATAGCCAGTAAAATGAATGTTGAGTATGTAGTTGTTTACTCTTGGGCTTGACTTGGCACAATTTGTGATGGTATGACATGGTGTTCTACCAAGCTCCCTTCTATTACTCAGATTTCTAGTACTTTTTTTAAAGTTGTTTTGGTTTTTTAAATAATGGTTTAAAGTAATAGATTGTGAAAAGACCTTTGAAAATGTGGACTCAGTGCATGGCAGTACAAGAAGGACTGTCTTAAAAAAGAGAGGGACTAAAGAGGTACTCCCAAGTGATCTGTGACATTCCTGTTGAAGTTAACACATGGAGCTCAATTATCTATCAGGATAACTATGAATACTAGCCTTCCTCTCTATTTCACCCCTCTTGGAAGAAGTATGGAATTGATCCTGCAAGCTGTTCAGAGTGACTGTTCACTTTTGTACTGTTTGTATCAATTAAGGAAAGAGATTGCTATTTCCCATTCTTTCAGGCCAGTGTTTAAATTCCAATCTGGAAACCATTACTAAAAGACTTGGTGGAGTGCAGCAATATATTCAGCTTTCCTGTGGAGACATCTGAATACCTGCAGAAACTTTGTTTGGAGCTCTGTGTGCAGTCAGAAACTGATTTGTTTAGCTCCAGTATTTAAGGTTTGCAGACAGGGGTTTGGGAATTTTGCTTTTCATTTGTGCATCTGAGTAAGTTCTTAAGCTCATAGCTTTCACTGAGTTGAATAAGAAAGACTATGTCTCATTCTTTTTGAGTTATTTGTTTATTCCTCTTTAATGATCCAAATGAACCATTTGCTTATTAAGTGTACAATTTAAAATTAATTGGATATTTACACATTTACCAACCTTCAAATAGTCTTAATAACCTCTTGAATAATGACTTTTTAATGCTTGCATTTCATTCCCTAGTTACCTTTTCCTTCAAAAAGTGGATGAAAGTCAAGTAAACAAGGGACAGTGACTTCGTAAGGCTTCTACCAAGATATATGTGAGGAAGGCTTATTCTTAGCATCTACTTTTAGGCTGCCTTTGAGAAATCAAACCTTAGAAGGCCAAGCTGGAATCAAGATTCCATACATGTAAAGTGTTGGGCATTTATAATTGCTCCTGGGAGATGCTTAAATTAAATGGTCTCTGTGAATACCCCATGCTGTGTCCCTGTTCTGTGTCTGCCAGTCTTTCCAGGAATCAGATGTTTCTTCTTGGTGATATGGCAAAGGATCATATTTCTGCCAAGTTCCATTAGAGTGTAACAAACTGAGGAAACTGAGTAAAGCATTTAACTATAAACTTTCTGAAAACAAATAAATTTATATTTAAATAAATGATACTACCCCTAAATACAAACGTTGTTGACTAGTGTTCTTGTAATTATACTTAATAGCAGTCGATTACTTTGTCACTTGTATACTGCTTGGGGTTTTTTCTGTTAGAAACTGTTGTATATCCTGTAGAAATCCACATATTTTTGTCATTAATACGTTGTGAATCCTAGTCCTGTTTTAAAACTTACATAGATCACAAAGTCCTAATGAAGTGATGTTTTAAGTATGATGCACAGGTATTTGTGATGTGAATCACAGATTACATTCTTTTGTTCACACTGTGTTTCCAACTACAAAACAAAATATGTCTACAGACATTGCAGAAGGATCTTTTCTGTGTCTTAGAAACACAGGTAAAAATCTGTAAAGTTTCCTTTGTTGTGGAACAGACCAGCTGTTCACTTTTGTAAGGTGCATCTGATGTTGCAGTCCAATTTCAGGCTGAGCAGTGTGCAGTACTTTCTGAAAAGAATAGCAACGTTAAATGGCAGGAACAGGAGTGTAAAATGCACATTATATCTGTTTCATCTGCATGATAGTAGTGACAAGTGCTCAATGGCTGTCAGCATCCTTGTCAGCACAGAGCCGCCTTTGACATTAAAGTCCCCAGCCCAGGCCTGATGCTGTGCAGCTCTATTGGCAGTTCCATCAGGCTGCAGCTGATCTGCGAATGTCAGAGCCTGCCCTCTTCTCCTGGTGTGTTGCCAGCCCTCTGTGTTTGCAGGCTGGCCTCGCCTGTTATTTGATCCTGCCGCACTTCTTCATCGGCTCTCCTATGGGAAATGAGCGGATAGGTCAGTGGTGTGAGGGGATCTTCAGGGCAGCACAGAACCCCATCCAAAGTGACTTGCATAAAGGTTTGTAATGATTATCATTTCTTTAAGCCAATCAATGGGTAAAGTACCCAGAGACTCATTAAGTGGCATTTAAGGCACCTGTGAAAGAGTTTTGAGCTGTATTTCAGGAAATGTGGTGACAGCCTTTAATGTCTAATTGACCTCTTCTCTTTGTTTCACTTTCTGTATTTCCTTCTGATGTGTTCCCCCATGGCAGCAAACAGCCCTGCTCAGTATTTTGAACTTCTGCTCGGAGCTGCAGCACCTCAGCCTGGGCAGCTGTGTCATGGTGAGTGCTTGGACCATGCAGGCACTCACTTTGGAACCTACCTGGGTTTGTTTCATAAAGGTGTGTTAAATGTGAGATTGATACAAGACTGCTCTTCTGGAATGTCCTAGATGAATGCAGCTTGGTCATATATTTAAGGGTTATGTACTGGTTTAGTAGGTCTAAAATGGCTTACAGGCTTTCTCAGAATTCTTCGGCCTTTTTCTAAGTTTTTGGGCATTCTCTGTATGAGTAATCACTTGATAAGTAATTAATACAACTTTCATAAGGAGTTGCAGCAACTGATCAACTTAAAATGGAAATAAGTACAGTCTTCAATCATTCTTCAGTAGTTGCACTTCCTGTGGTCATAAAAACTGTTGTAATCATTTTTTAAGGGGAAAACAACTGTGCAAAAAAACCTGTTTCTTCAAAGAAACAGCTTTTGCTGCAGCTTGATCCTCAGTATTAAGTGAAATTTAAACCAGCTGTGTCTAGGGTTTATAGGAAATTTATTTTTGTCTTTTATAAAAGTAGATCTCACTGTACCATTCAATGAACAATTTCTGGAGCTCTTTAGAAGTGACTAATGCTTGAGACAGATGCGTTATGTGTGTTAGGAAGAAAACCTTGAAACACCTCTGGAACAATCCTGCACGTGACCAAGTGTCTGCTTTCCTTGCAGATTGAAGACTATGACCTTATAGCAAGCATGATGGGAGCAAAATGCAAAAAGCTTCGCAGTCTGGATTTGTGGAGATGTAAAAACATAACTGAAAGCGGGATCGCGGAATTGGCTTCAGGCTGCCAGCTTTTGGAAGAGCTTGATCTTGGTTGGTGTCCTACGCTCCAGAGCAGTACGGGCTGCTTCACAAACCTTGCGCGCAAACTCCCGAATTTGCAGAAGCTCTTCCTTACGGCCAACAGGTCTGTGTGTGACACGGACATCGAGGAGCTCGCTGCCAACTGCACACACTTACGGCAGCTGGATATATTGGGTAAGAGAATGTGGGAATAATGGCGTTTGTTTTACGGTGTCTCAAAAGCTTTTCCGTTAAAAAGGAGTCCTTACGACAAAACTGTCTTCTAGACATATTTTTTAAATAATTACTTCTTGAAATTGTGGTTTAGCACATAAAAAAAAACAAAAAGAGGGACGTTTATTGCATGAATTCTGACTGAGAATCCAGTGGATTTATACCAGCTGTGTAATTTGACTGCTGGGTATGAATTGCTTAAAGTGGAATTTAAGTGCAAGACTTTTTTCGCTGACTTTTATTTTCATCAGTTTTTAACTGAAGCCTTTCTGTTTTGATTATCAGAAGATCCAATTTCTTATCATTCTTTCTGCTTTTATGTTTTCATTTCTGTGAAGTGAGGTGAGAAGGAAGTGATGATGGTCAAAAAGCATAGCAAATCTGAAATTCCTGAAGCTGAATCCTCTGTAGCTTCCATAGTTGATATTTTTAGAGATCTAAAGTAAATACACTTTGAGCTTTTGAGTAAGGACTTTGAGAAGTGTAGTTTTGTATAATGCTGAATTTATTCTTTTATAGTGACATATGAGGTTTTCTTTTTATAATAATGTAGGAGAGCAAGGATGTTTGTGACATCAGTGTGGGAGAAAATCCTTCATGGTTTTACCAACTTAATTTCACAGGTTAGCTGAAAAAGGAAGATTTAAGTGAAAGGGAATAAAGTAGTTGCTCTGTGTACTTCTAACATTTAATAATTGTAATGAAAGTACTATATTTAGGTTGAGAGGGATACTGCAGAGAACTAAGAGCCATCAACATGAATAATGTTCCAAGCAAGTTTAAGGATTTATTCTTATCAACATTTATAATTTACCATTTAATTTAAGTATTTACCATGTGGGTTCAGATTGACACTCCAGTACACTCCTGTAATGACAGAGTTTTACTCAGTTTTGACTGAGTCACCTTCTGACCAACATGGGAAAGACATATGAACAGAAAAAGCCTTAACTCCACCTAGTATAAGTTGTAGATACATTATGTTTATGACCCCCAGGGCTACTGTGTTTTGTGTATCTTTAAGAGCCTGCTCTGTAGCTAAATTATCAGGGGCACACTGTCCTGTTCAGACACGAAAAGTTTCCAAATAGTGTAGGGAATTAATCTTTCAAAACGCTTATGTCCCCCTGACCACCCACTTCCATGTGGTTCTGTTACAATGGCCTTGTGTCTGCCCACAAAGTGGTCAGACCTCGTTACTGCACCAGAGGCTCTCCAAAGAATAGTTTGNTTTTCCGTTAAAAAGGAGTCCTTAAGACAAAACTGTCTTCTAGACATATTTTTTAAATAATTACTTCTTGAAATTGTGGTTTAGCACATAAAAAAAACAAAAAGAGGGACGTTTATTGCATGAATTCTGACTGAGAATCCAGTGGATTTATACCAGCTGTGTAATTTGACTGCTGGGTATGAATTGCTTAAAGTGGAATTTAAGTGCAAGACTTTTTTCGCTGACTTTTATTTTCATCAGTTTTTAACTGAAGCCTTTCTGTTTTGATTATCAGAAGATCCAATTTCTTAGCATTCTTTCTGCTTTTATGTTTTCATTTCTGTGAAGTGTGACAAAGTATATTTATAGCATGAGTCTGTGATCAATAGACAGACTTTGCTTTTGTCCAAGAAATATCTGTGTTGTATAATATGTATTATGTACTATGCAATACTGAATTTCTTCATCACTTTTATCAGTAAATGGAGTTATTAAAGATGAAAGGGTAATTAACAGCAAAACCTAAATAGACTTTCTAGTGAGGTGAGAAGGAAGTGATGATGGTCAAAAAGCATAGCAAATCTGAAATTCCTGAAGCTGAATCCTCTGTAGCTTCCATAGTTGATAATATTTTTAGAGATCTAAAGTAAATACACTTTGAACTTTTGAGTAAGGACTTTGAGAAGTGTAGTTTTGTATAATGATGAATTTATTCTTTTATAGTGGCATATGAGGTTTTCTTTTTATAATAATGTAGGACAGCAAGGATGTTTGTGACATCAATGTGGGAGAAAATCCTTCATGGTTTTACCAACTTAATTTCACAGGTTAGCTGAAAAAGGAAGATTTAAGTGAAAGGGAATAAAGTAGTTGCTCTGTGTACTTCTAACATTTAATAATTGTAATGAAAGTACTATATTTAGGTTGAGAGGGATACTGCAAAGAACTAAGAGCCATCAACATGAATAATGTTCCAAGCAAGTTTAAGGATTTATTCTTATCAATATTTATAATTTACCATTTAATTTAAGTATTTACCATATGGGTTCAGATTGACACTCCAGTACACTCCTATAATGATAGAGTTTTACTCAGTTTTGACTGAGAGAGTCACCTTCTGACCAACATGGGAAAGACATATGAACAGTTTTACTCAGTTTTGACTGAGAGAGTCACCTTCTGACCAACATGGGAAAGACATATGAACAGAAAAAGCCTTAACTCCACCTAGTATAAGTTGTAGATACATTATGTTTATGACCCCCAGGGCTACTGTGTTTTGTGTATCTTTAAGAGCCTGCTCTGTAGCTAAATTATCAGGGGCACACTGTCCTGTTCAGACACGAAAAGTTTCCAAATAGTGTAGGGAATTAATCTTTCAAAACGCTTATGTCCCCCTGACCACCCACTTCCATGTGGTTCTGTTACAATGGCCTTGTGTCTGCCCACAAAGTGGTCAGACCTCGTTACTGCACCAGAGGCTCTCCAAAGAATAGTTTGGCTGTGTTAAACTTGTGGATAGTCTGTTACTTCTGTGTCCTCTCTGACAGTAGTGAAGGTTTGCTGCCACAATTCTTTAGTGTTTGAATTCAGATTTGAATTCAGTTTGACATCTTAATGTGCTTTTTTTTTTTTTTTTCTTCCTTCAGAGAAATATTTGGTAGGGGGGCGAAAAAGGTTGTCCTCTGCTGTAAACAAGTCAGTACAAGGTGATACTATATATGTGAAGGACTTACTCTGCTTTTTTTGGCAGCAGCAAGGAAACTGTTAAATTTTTTTTGGTCTGAATATAGTAATCACTACAGTCTGTGGTTACAAGAAAGAGCTGTCAAGTAGAACCACATCGTGTCATCTGGAGGTAGATTTGCCAGGTGTTCCCATGTAAGTGCAGAAGTCTCTGTTGTCTGAACTAAAGAGTCTCTCACTGTGCAGGAGTACCAAGGAAGTCATAAATCTCTGAATGTGCTCTTACTTTGGGCATGTGATACAGGGCCATCCTCTTACTTTAAGCTGCATAAATGTGTAGTATGTTTTTGTCCTTCAGTAGAAGTGTGACAACAGGTCTGAAAGTGTAAGAGGTCAGAGCTCAGCTTTGCAAGAGTAACCTTGAACAGTGGGTCTTCTCTGTGATGTGAACGAATGAGAGGTGCTCTCATTATAGCTTCTGTCATCTCCCAAGTAAAGAAATGTCTGGCTTGCCTATGCATTGTGAAGGGTGTAGAGGTCTTGCTGCTAGGTTAGCACTGTGTGCTGTAAAGGAACTTCTTTTGCTTCAACAAAGCTGTGTAAAAGCGAGATTCTTTTGCTGTATACAAGCACTTATCTAAGTAAAGGTCAGAATGTTTTCCCTTTACTGTAGTCACCAGCACTGAAGATACTATACAGGTGTCTCTCTGCAGTTGTTAGAACTTATAAACTCGTCAGAGAAAACTTCTTGTTTCAGTTATAGGTTATTTATCATCACAATAGCTTCAGGGGTGGAGGAGTCTAAACCTCTGAAAGAAAGCTTGTTCAACTGTAAGGGGTGAAAAATGTACATTATATATGGCCTGGATGCTGTTTTAAGGTGGTAAGTCTTGAGGCTTGCTACCCATCTGTCCTTTACTATAATTGTTGGGCAATTTCCTTGTTACAGAGTCAGAGGATGAAAATTGGTGGTTTTCAAGGACTCTCTATACTTGCTGGCCCATGTAAAGCATTATTGGATGTCAGGCTGTGTTTGTGCTGTGTAAAACATGGAAAGTAAATTTCTGTTCAAAAAAAATCATGGGCTGGTCCATGTCTGCTGTATCATAAGTTTGGAAGAGGAAGCGTGGTGTGTGTCACTGAATGCACAAGGATGTGTTTCTCTCGAACTTTTAGTTCTGAGCTTTCTTTTACCGACTACATCCTGAACTGCCTGCTTACAAGTATCATTTCCTTCTCAGCCCACATCTTTTCCACTGACTGGCATGGCATGTTTCCACCCTCTGTCAGAATGATCCAGCTATGATCATCTGACAGTTCTGTAGTGACGCAGTACATCAGCCAGTGCTATCAAAAGTTAAGTGGACACCTCTAGACCAGTAGTTGAAAAACTAGTCTTCAAACTGTGATCAGCATTGAGCAATGTGACAAGTCAGATGGCAACCTGAATTGACAGTGCCAAAAGCTTTTCTTGCACATCACATCAGCTGCTTAGTTTTCTTACTGTGGGGTTCTCAGCTGCTGTCAAGGGTGAAGAGTAAATCGTATTAACCTCACTCCCCAAAAGTTCCAGCTACCTCTGTCCTGCACAAAAGGAGTAGTGAAAAGTAGACACCCTCGTTACCACAAAATTCATGTATTCCTATCTACATTCCAACACCTCCTACACCTTCCTGAGCAACAGAAAACCCAACTGCCCCCTTGCCAGCTGTCAAAGTTTTCAGCTTTATCTTGAGAACATCAACACGTAGTTAGTCAATTCAAACATGAAAATGTGTAGCACATTAAAATTTTGAATTTGAGTTGTGTGCAATAGATTGAATAAAATGTAAAGATTAAAATGCTAGTTGGGCTGGTCTAGGAGAAGAAAGGAAAGAAAAGTAAGAATATTTGAGGGAAGATGCTAGTTATTTTCAAGGTTGGTACTCTGAAATATTATTTGGTGTGTAGTAGTGTCCCTTGCCCTAGAAATTTGGGTTCTGCAGTTTTTATAGCTATCCTGTGCAGATCTCCTAAACAGCTGTAGAATTTGAAGACTTGAATATATAATGGATATAAATTAGATTATTTACAGCTAATAAACATAACTGTTCTAGCAAAGAGATCATTACTCTTGCCTTTTACAAGGGTGATACAAGACAATTAACTGAACAACAAAATTAAATAGCAGATTTTAATATTTTGGTTATGTATGTATTCTGAGAAATGTCTGATTAGTCTGTGGAGGAGCAGTTGTAGTAAATAATAAAGGTCTAAAAGTCTCCAAACTCTAGAAGAAAAATGCACTATATAAGTAATTAACTAGCAGGCTACATTGTCAGTCTTTCAAAAGCAAAGTAAAATGTGCTGTATTAAAATGATGAAATTATTTTGAATGGGCTTTTAAGATAAATACGTCACTAACTGTACATTGTATAAATAAAAGTAAAACTACATATGATGTTCACTTACCCTGTGGTGTGAATAACCAAACCCCAACTGGATTGCTTTTAGAAAATGGTATTTCCTAACATAAAATTTTAAGTCTGAGGAGATAAAAAACCAGGTGCAATAAAACATGCAATTTAGGATGACCTACTTAGTTGCAAATCTATTAAAAGTCTTGGATGAAATGGTAGGAGAACTATCAAAGTTCAGGTAGGAAGGAATGAAGAACATCCTACACGAAAAAATCTGTGGCTAGGAATCTAAATCTAGAATTTTTGTAGAAACACACATTTGAATCTTGAAGCATAAAAGCTGTGATGCATAAATGAGGCTGGGTTTAGATGAAGGTGCTGATGTAGTAGCAATTTTAAGGCTTGGTGGAAAAAAAGATAAGTAGCATAGTGTTGTTCCTAGAGTCGCATTTGGAATGGTAGAGCAGGTCCTTATGGCAGAGCAGTGATACTGTCGTAAAGTTCATGGTCAAATGAAGCGAATAAATAAAGCATGTTAGAGAATTTCTTTGTAAAGCCTTTGGGACTGTTGCATGAACCACCAGACAGTTATGATGATGGTGATTATATAAGGGTAAGGGAGTTAAAAATCAGTGATTATGACAAGCTTAGTCTTTGAAGAGGAGTTAAAACTTGGGGGCATAATAGCAAAGACTGTCCTTGGGTGATGTTCAGTAATGTCTCAAAGCAACTAATCTGAAAGCCTGATGTAGGCTAATTGAAGACCACATTTAGATCCCCCCTTATGCAGAAGAGTAGTGGAGTCTAGTGGAACCATCCGGAGTCTTTCTGAAATTGAACCCCATGCAGAGAATGAAAATAGGAAGATGAACTCTAGAAAGTGGAACAAAATCACAGTATGAAGTAGTAAGGAACCATTGGCTAGAGGTGAATAATTCTGTATTTCAGCTGTGTTGGAAATTCACAGGAGCTCAGTAGACAGTCTAGATGTGAAGGCTCACTCCAATACAAGGCTATTGTAGGGGAACTGTTGTGTGTCCATTTGTGTTCTAGGCAGAGGGGATCAAGCAGGCTGCTACATCAGAGCCATTCTTTCCAGATTAGCCTGGAAAGCTGCCTTAAATTGGAATGCCAATACAGAAAGCTTTTGAACAAATCAATACATTGAACAATAATAAATTGTTAGGATTAAATGGTATTTATGCAGTGGTTCTAAATGAGCTCAAATACAGGGCTCTGGAAATCTTATTTCTGGTGTGTGATCTGTCTCTTAAATCAGCCTCAGTGCTAGAGTAATGCAGGGTTACAAACGTGGCACAGCCTTTTGTAAAGGGCTTGGGTTAGGAGCTGTAAAACAGTAAAATCATTTTTTGCTCTCTGTAAACCAGTGGCAGCCATGACAAAGCCAGTCAGTGGACACACAGAGGACATTACCATATGTTGAAGAAGAGCTGCATCCCAGCAAGGGTAGTATTAGCTTTTATCTCTCTGGTTCTTTAGAATTCCTTGGAGTTCTTGGTGAATGTGAGCTCCACTCCAATCCATAGAAGATTGGATTTTCAAAAGCTTTAGCCAAGGTTGTGCTGCTTTTGTAAGTTAGCTGTCTTCTCCTGGATATTATGAGTGTTTCAGAGACAGCAGAGGACAAGAATGTATCATCTCTTTTCACAGTGAAGTTATGTCAGTACTGTGGTGACCAAGGGTCTGTTCTGATCTGTTTGTAAGTAATCCAGGCAGAGGGGTGAATAATGCCAGAGGGTAACACACAGGTATTCAGGGTAGAAAAATCTTAAACTGAAGAACTTAATACTGAAAAATGGCAAAATGATCTTGTGATACTTATTAAACAGGTGATAAAGCAGGAGGAAAACATTCAATCAAGAGCAAAGTAGTTGCATGAGGCAAAATAATATCAACTAAATATATAGGGGACTGGATTTGTACAAGCTACTGTTGTGTAGGAAAGAGATCCTATGGACAATTTTTGGAAAACAACAGCTCATTGCTGATGAGTATCAATCTAATGGGAATAGAGAAAATTAAGGTTTCTTAGACAAGAAATGGAGAAAATACCATAGGGCTTGTTACAAAATTACTGACTATGTGCTCAGTGCACTGTATCGTTCTGGTCATCCAGTTTCAAAAGTACTAAATTAGTGCAGAAACAACACAACAGGGGTCATTCTGAGATGCAAGGGAGTCTGGAAAACAGATTCCCTTGAGGGCACAGAAGAGATGTGCATGGGAGTATGAGTGATTTAGAAATAGTGAACTGGGAATGATCTCACTGCTTCTTTCATTGCATCTTAATTAATTGCAATTAATAGGCTGGAGTTTTTTGGGGTTTTTTTCTGGTTTTTTTTTTTTTTTTGACTTTATGTAGTTAAACTGTGGAACTTATGAAGGGGCTGTAAGTATAAAGAAATTCAGAAAAATAGTAGAATCCATGAAAGATAGCTTTAGAAACACTAAAATTATAAATTTTGCCCATTGGGACAAATCACCAGTGAAAAGCTACATTAAAAAATATACTTCTTTTTGTGCAGGGGAGGTAAGGAATGTAGGGAACATAATTATCCCTGACCCTAGACAAGATCCTGAACTAGATGGCTTTTTGGGGTGCTAGTTAGCTGAAGATGGAGCTGTGTGAGTTGAACTGTCTGCCAGCAGTTTTCTGCAGTAGTGTTGGATATATAAAGTCTCTAGAGGGAAAGCTTGATGAGCAGTTTAGCCTTCTGTAGACACCCAGGCTCAGTTACTTGCCAAGAGTAACTTGCCAGGCTTCCAGCCTTTCCTGTAAGGCATGAATCTCCTCTGGGTCCAGAGTCCTGTCTGCCAGCTGTGTGTGGATGTCCTGCACGGTGGAAGGTCCCCAAGGGGCACCGAGTACTCCAGACAGCTGACTCACACCACAGTGCCCAGTCAGATGAATCAGGTGCTAAGCACAATGGACTGGACTGTCTGTATGTCCATCAGCTGTAATGGCTGCATGGATTTGTGCTTATAAACATCAATTTATTTGGTTTCTGACTGAATCCTATGCTTGATTTGACCCTGTGTGACACTCGGGAGTTCAGCCACTGTGGTCTTGTTTTTAGCAGGGTTTAATTAGTGTGTTTTATACATACATGTATGTATGATCAGCAGTCTCTTGAACAAGTGTCCCTGCATGTGTGTAATACCCACATTTGCTCTAGAGCCCTGGGAGCCTTGCTGATGCCTTTTGAATTGGAGTAGCCCCCAGTCACTTTTCTGCTGTGCTGATGGTCTCTGTGCTCAACAGGAAAGCCATGAGAGCACGACTGCAGCATTCCATGCTGCTGCCTGAGCACAGAGTCTGGTCCCTGGGTGGTCTTGTGGCTCTGGGTACTTGGCTTCTGTAGCAAGAGATTCCCCTTGACGTCGTTAAGCTGCCCCCTGTTAGGGAATGATGGCGACTTAAGCAGTTAAGAAAATACTCTAGGCTTTTTAAAGGTAAAAGTTCTACATGCTCTCTGAGAAGATTTTAATTTGAAAACTAATTTAAATAATCTAGATAAAAGTTGTGTTGTAGTAGCATTTTTTCATGACATGGTATTAACAGCTTAAATCCCTCCACTATTCTTGGTAACTTTACAATTCTGTTTTGTTTTCTTTTTGAACAGGAACAAGGATGGTGAGCCCTGCATCTTTAAGAAAATTGCTGGAGTCTTGTAAAGATCTTTCTTTACTCGATGTGTCCTTCTGTTCACAGATCGATAATAGAGTTGTGCTAGAACTGAATGCCAACTTTCCTAATGTGTTCATAAAAAAGAGTTTCACCCAGTGACTCTCTACATATGCTGCTGTGGAACTCGTTTGACAGAGTTGTTTTCCTGTAAATTTGTGCTGATTTTTTTAAGGAGAATTTAAATCTGCTATAAAATAGTGGAAACTAGTAATTATCTACAAAAATGGGTAAAATACATTTAAATGTATTATGTTAAAGTTGATATTGTACCTAAGAATTATTTTACTCTGTTAATTGGTGGTACTGCATGTTTTTTAAGTACTAGCCATATGTCTGGCTTTAATGAGAAGCAAATGAATGTCTTCTTAAATGTCCCTTCACAGGGTGTTATACACAACACGCTATGTTAATATCCAGGTGAAAGCAGAAGTTCAATATTTATCAGTTAGGAAAATATGGGTGCTTCCTTTTCATGTGTTTGTGTGTGTATATATAAATGTATACATATGTGTTTGTATATACATACACAGATATTGTAGCATTCTAGTTTGGTGCAGCATAAGATTTTATGATCAGCCCTATAATTAGTTATTTGAAAACCAGTTTAAGTGTGTATAAGAACAGATAGAAAAGGCACTTTATCTTCTTTGAGTTTTGGCAGTGAATTGTATCTGACACAGTTTTCTCCCTTCCTTCACCTGAAATAGAAGTAGTGGTGTTTTACAGTCCAGCCTAAGCAACAAAACAGATAAATGCAAGAACCTGGACCACCTGAACTTAGAGCAGAAATGAAAGATAAAATTGACAACTGCTTCTTGATATTGAGATGCAGAGTTTAAGCCAGGTACTTAATGTCATAACTGGTAATGTGTAAAAAACTCCAGAGTAGTTTTCTTTTTCAGGTTTCTGTCATGGTCAAGACTTGATTTGTGATACCTTTGGTTATTGTGCAGAGTACCATGGAAAGTAGAACTTCAGAGTAATGCATTAGCAGTTGTCCTTTCGCTGGCATCAAATCTACTGTCAGGTGTAAAAACAAACACCCTTGTTCAGTAAAACAGCAATGAAAATATTATGGGTTTGAAACAAGGGCAATATGATTTGATAATTTTATGATAGCCAAACTTAGTACTGGATTTGTTTTGTTTGGGTTTTTGTTTTGTTTTTCCAAGAGGAGTGTAGCTCCAAGTACTGTTGCACTCCCTCTTTAAGACTGCTTAACCTCTGAAGAAGGAAAGCTGTGTTGATGGACAATTTCTGGAAGTTTCTTCCTTTTGCACTTTCTTGGATGAAGCTTTTCTCTTTTATTTCCTTGAATACCACTGCTAGAGTGTGTTGCTATGTACAGCTTTGGTTTAGAATTTTACCTTTTTAGCCATTGTTGATGTATATGGACCATAGAATATAGGCTGTCTTTTGATACTGGTTCTGTTATTCTTGTGTTGATGGCACTTACTACCTTCTGGAATAAGAAGAAAAATACTTTGCCTGAGAGAAGTACAGTATTGTACTGAAGATCAGTGACAAAGAACACTTCAGTTCATGCAGTAAATAACCAACTCCTACTAGAGGACTGCTGCAAATCGTTAAAAATGTGACAATCTCTGTGACTCCTGAATGACTGCTTTGAACTCTTTGTGCTGGTGCCAATACTTTATAAACCATGTCATAAAATAGCTACAGAACATTTATATGATTTTACTGAAAGACATAGTTCTTCAGATTTTTAAATTTTGCTAAATCTCTGGGGAATTCCAGATCCAAAGAAGGGCATGCACAGTTGGCTTTTTGATTTTTTTCCTCCACAGAGATGGCACTATGGGATTTCCAACTAGTTTATGCCATTCCATTTTTTTTCTTCTTTAGAAATCTAGGCATTGTCAGAGAACTTTATATTGATTTACTTTTTTTTCCACACTGAAAGATGTCAGCTTTGGTATGATTCTCTGTGAGACCTCATTTCTCTCAATCATGTTTGGGTTCATTTATTTTTCTCTGAAATTTTAACTTTTTTTAGTCTGTATTTTTCATTTGTAACTGAGTATTAAACATTATTCTAGTTACAGGAGAACACAGGTACAGATAATGGGAGTTTACAAAGAAAAGAATTTCAAAACAAATGTTTTTGTTGCAAAATTTCACTTCTCAGGGGTCGTTCTGTGTTTATCTCCTTTTTTTTTCTATAGAGATCAGTTTTGTTTGTTTTTCACTGTAAATAGAATGGGATGTGGATGAAGTGATAGCCATTGTGCCTTCAAACTGGTAAATTTGGTAGATAATACAGTTTAACTCATCAGTGAATCAAATACATGTTTTTGTAATCATGTACGTGTAAAAAATTTCATTCTCTATTGCTTTTTATGTAGCGTAAAGAAGGTTTAAATTGGAATTTTGTTCATACTGAAGGATTTTTTTCTTTCTTATGTTGCATCTTCTGCTTGAAATTGTTCTTTTCAGGAACTCTTTATTGTCACTTGGAAGATAAAGTGAAGTTGACTTTTTATTTGGGTTGTTTAAAACTTAGCTATTGCAAACATATAATTAATTCAAAGAGCAGAGAAATGATTGGAAATGAATTCCTACATAGCTGTGACTTCCTATTTAGTTGTAGACTTCAACTTTCAGTTAGAGAGTAAGAAGCTCTTTTAGCTATGGCCTTATAAGTCCAAGAAGTCTTCCAGCAAAACAAAGTTAGACCAGACTTGACATTTGTAATACTTGTGGGATAAAGAAACAAACTTGCTTTTAGACCTTCCTTATATGTCACAAAGAAGCAAGAATAGGTCGCTGTCTCTTTAGTTCTGCTATCTTTTTACTTAAGTGTGTCTATTTATTTATACATATGTATGCATAAATTATATATATACACACATATGTTCATGTGTATATATATATTTTTTTGGATGTGTGTACATACATAAATGTATATGTATAAATCTCAAAGTGTTTCATGTAGGAATTACTTTTGTAAAGTGAGTGTAATAGCAAAAGATGTTTCCTAGCAGTTCTGCTTTCAACTGTTCCTTTACTCTACCTGAAGACTGAGTTCATCTCCACCCATCAGCAGGAAAAGCCTGGACAGGAGATGTGCTGGATTTCCAATGTTGCTTTTCCAAGTGCCTTTTGGTTTGTCTGCTCATGAAAGGTGTTGCAGGGTATGAAGAGTGAATGCAAAGTCCGGTAACTACTGTGGACTGTCTCCTTGTGAAGCAGTTGTATAGAGGGAAACTTATATTCTAGTTTCATTTAATCCAAAATGAATTATATCAATTCCTCCATTCGAGCAATGTAATTACTCTTGAATTGTGTTGTCATCTCCATCACTAGACTGTCCCTCGGTCATGTTATCTAAATTCTGCTATTAAGGATATTATTTTTTTTAATCCTGTTGTTGGATTATCTGTCATTCTGAAGCTTTGTAAAAGATGTGCTTTGGCAACAAATATTAAAAAACATGACTAACGTGTCCAAAAAAAGGGGTTTTCTCTGAACTGCTCCTGTTTTTAAACTAAAGGGGGGGCTTCCATATCCTCTGCATGAAATTGATGTGGGTTGGCCTGAAGGTAAAGATGTAATTCCTTGGGTAATTTTAAATGATAATTTTACTATTTAAAGCATCTTAACTCTTCAAGGCTTTAATTCAGTAGTGTACTTACTTGTATTCATAATTTTGAGCTGTCTGTTACATAGCTCTATGAAATAGATGGGGTTTCTGTTCTTTAAATTGTACACTCATTAAGTACATTAGTGAAGCCTGACTTATATAGAACAGTTTTGCGTGGGAGTTCGAACCTTATAATCCCCCATGTACTTGGAGGGCCAAGTTTCAAGAAAAAAACCCCACAAACAAACAGCAAAATCTACCTAAACCTTTGTATTTCCTTAGAGCTCTTATGCTAAGTTTTCCAGATACAAGATGTTGAGTAATCATGGTACACAGTGAGTAGAATTCACCTCACTGAATGTTAGTTCTCTGAAAGTTAGACATCTACTTCAAGGGAGAAATCCGGGCACCTCTAGAGAGCTATTAATCTCCTATAGCAGACATTTAAGGAAAGTAGAATGAATCATGTTCTAGAGAGCCTCTCTGGAGACTGTGGAAGCTGTGATTTAGCTCAGGTTAGATACTAAACTGAGATTAATTCTATCCAGTGCTGTACTACCTGTCTTGAAAAACAAGATTGAAACAACACCATCCATCCTTAAACCTTCAAACCCTCCAAATTCCAGAGAGAAGCAAAAAAAAAAAAAAAAAAATTCTGACAACCTTGAGGAGTTTTCTTAGTGCCAGAATCTGCGTCTGCCCCATGCCAGTGCCTGTGGTATATAATTTGTTTTATTTCATTAGTTTGGCTTTTGGCTTTGGGTTTTTTTGGAAATGCATCCTCTTTCCCTGTTCCAACATCTCATGTACCTAACTGGCTGTATGTATAGTTCTGTAAATACATGAAGTGAACAGGCAAACATAATTAATGAATTCCTACTATTTTGGTAATCTTTCATATTGCTATAATTAAGACTGAGTAGTCTAACTGCTCTACTGTCATCAGAAATGTCACCCACTGTGCATCTGCAAAAATTGTGTGCCGAGTCCTGGTTCTTACTGTGTGTACTTATTGCATCTTATGGGATATATTTCCCATGTCACATCAGCAGGACTGCTAAATTTACAAAAACTAGATAAAATGTAGCATTTTATTATGGACTATGGGAGCGACTTTATAGATATGATTTACTTGTTCATTATTGCTCTTTAACAATGATTCTGTAAGTTGTAGCTTTTGAAATTACTAGACTAGAAACCCTGGTTTAATGTATCTGCACATGCTGTGTCAGACATAGTCAATGTTTTTTTTTCCCAAATGAAGGCATTAGTCCTTCCCTGAGATGATGATTTCTGTGATTTTTAGATCTCTGACTTGATACTGAAATGCAAGAAGGTGCTCTGAAATAAATGTTACTGGGCACAGGACAAGTTGTGGTAACTGATGTTTGGAAGGGAAGAGGAATGAGTGTTGCACGTTACAGATCCTCATGAGCTTCAGAGAATGGCATCGGCAGGAAGAGTCTCTTTAAGAAGATTCAGCCTCTGTAATAGGAGGCAGTGGTGAAATTTTCCTTTTCAGCTAATGGACTGAATACTGTTCTTTTTGTTTGAGTTACATAGCTCTGGTTTCTCCTTGTCTTGTTTTCATTTAAGGATGGTAAATGGTGCAGTTAGGACAGACGTCCTAAACTGAAAGGCATCCATTGTGAGGAATGAAATTTTTCTGTTGTGTGTTTTGTTCACCTTTTCTAAAAATAAAAGAATTAAAATATCCTCAACTATTTGAAAACTCATTTTCCTTAGATTCTGAAGAAATGCAAATTATCAAGAAAGTTGAGAAAAGAAAAAGGGAACTTAATCAGATTTATCTGGAAATGCATGGAAGGGTAGCCAGAGCTATTTATAGATGTGAGGAAAGTGCCTTGTTCTAGATCAGCTCTTACCTTTCCAGAAACATAGCTTTCCACATAGTATCACATGCTCATACTTCTAAATCAAGATTTACCATTTAGGTGTTCTTAATATTGACCTTTCATGTGCATGTTTGTGCAGTAAGTCACGATGTCTCTTCATTTCATTTTTATCAACTACATAAAAATATTTTTTTCTTTGCTGTGAAATCATGTTTTTTGTTATTTAATGAAACTATTTCATTCATGTACATAGAGGTGCATATAAGACTTAATTGCTCAGGTTTTTTGCAGCTAGTCCTTTTCTGAGGACAAACTGCAGTTTAGGGGTAAAATGGTAAAAGTAAAGAGTAAAGTCTCTGGAGAAGGTTCAAGGGAAATCTGATCCAATGTATAGGTATACCTGATGGAGTGGAAGAATGAAGTAGAGGGAGCCAGATTCTTCTCAGTGATGCCCATGAACAGGACAAGAAACCATGGGCACAAACTGAAACACACAAGATGACACATTTTATGGCATTTACAGGTTGCCTAGAGAGCTTGTGGAGTGTCCATCCTTGGAGATACTCGTTGTCCTGGGCAACTGACTTGAGCTGGTGGAGGCTAGACTAGGTGACCTCCAGATGTTCCTTTCCAGCCTCACCTGTTCTTTGTTCCATGATCTGAGGTACACCTATGGTTGGTTTCTTTGCTTCATTGTACTAATTGCTGAAGAAGGTGGAGGGAGGAGAAAATAAAGAACACCTATCCTAAGGAACTTGTCATGTTGACAACAGACACAAGAATCTTGTATGTTTCCTTTTTTTTGTTACTTTGAGCAGGAAAATCTAAATAGAACTTAACTGGAATAAAATTTTGGTAATGTTTTCAACGTGCAGATCAGATGCAGGGGTATCATAAAAACCAGACAACTGTTTTATGGGAGTATGATTGTCATTCCAAAGCCTGAAAGTTCCACCAAGGACTAAGAAAACCCTATTTTTGGACATTGGCAGTAGTTTCTGGATAGAAACTGAGTTGTCTATAATACACTAGGAGTAGCTGAATTTGTATATCTTTAGTATTTGTTTACATAGACCTTACACTGAATTAGGATGGCCATGGTTTAGGTGACAGTTCCTCCTTACTCTGTTGGAAACTGAGTACAGCAGTTACCTGTTTGTAGTGTCAAACACACATGTTTGAGTTCAAGTGAGAAAGAGGACCAAGTTTATGAAAAACTGAGATATCTGAGTGTTTTAGGGAGGTACCATGTATAATTGTGGTGAGTTCCCATCTTTTGTATTTTTACTATTTTACCATTGTCAGGAGTTGTTGTCTCTGCTCACCATCAGAAGATGGGCTCCCTTTTATCAGACCTTGGTCTCTCCAGATTTTTCTTGAGTGCCACAGATTTTTACACACACCCACTGTTCTGAAATGAGCAGAGAAAATAGCTGGCTTGGTTAGGATTTGGAAACTAATGCTAGTCTATTCTTGAAGTTACTTTGGAATAGTTGCTAAAAGTAAATTAAAATAACTAGGAATTTATGTGTTCACAGGGAGACCTTGCACTTTCTTACTTAACTTTGGCATACAGACAATTACAGATGTCCTTCAGCTGTCATAGTAAAATCTGTGTGATGGTGATCTTCCTGGATTTTGTTAGTGAACATAAAGCAACTGCAGCTCTTCAGCATCTTTTGCATTCATGTCCTTGCCAGGCAGATGCTGGAGTTGGGGATTGTGAAGAT